TCTATTTAATTTTTTTCCCATATGGAGCCTAGTCGCCATCTTGAAAGTTTCGTCTGTCAATTTCACTTTGAAATGAAGTATTCATGCATTAATTTTATTATCCCAAATTTTAATTTCTTGAGTTGACCCGTTCAAAAAATAAAAGGGGGAAAGGGCAATAAAGAAATGCTCTGTATATTGCATTTTCAGCAAGTGATTGTATCATTTCTCTCATCACTCTATAGGTTCCAAGTATCTTTGGCATTTCTTGGAATATTTCCATTCCTAAAAATGTGAACACTTTTTACACAATTTCGGATTTGCATTCCCATGCATTTTTTTCATTTACACTTCATAAGAGTGCACCTTGATCTTTCTAACATTTCCATCATTCTTTTTCTGGTTTCTAATTTTCAATTTGTCTTGTGGTTGTTTCAAAATTCCTTGAAATAGTTATAGCAGGGAAGCCCACGATGCAAAATGGGGATTTACTCGAGCGTCATTGAGACATATTAGGTTGCAAAGCTTAGATGATAAGAAGAAAAAAATGATCATCATCTCTGTGATCAGCTGTGATAGGGTCATGGCAACAGAATTCACAGTGGCGACGGAGTGAGAGAGTAATAGATAGAGAAAAAGTGAATAGAGAATAGAGGAATAGAAACTCGGAGAGGGAAATATAGGTATGACACAGCTGCACGCATGAAACTTTATCGACGAATTTTTGTTATTTCGGCTTGCGGAAATCGTCAGATTATATATTTTTCGTTATCCTTGAATTATTTTCTTCAAAATAAAAAAAAACTAGCTACGCTCGAGAATGTCGAATTGACGTTATTTTTTTACAACTTTGCTGCCCTCCCCTTTCTTTACGTCACTCACAAATTGTTAGATTACTGGAATAAACATTTTTAGCAGGTAATTAACTCACCCTTCCTTAATCTGATGCGCTCGAGAATTTCTGATAATCAATTTTTTTTACTAATCTGATCCTTTATCCCTCACAGGCGGCCTTACATATGGGGCTCATATTTGGTGGAGGTACTTAACCGGATACAAGGTATCCCCCTTTATATTAATCTGCCGCGCTTTAGTGAATCCCGAAATCCCCGCTTGGGCTCCCCTATTATTATAGGCTTCCTCCTGATATTCAAAGATTCCTGGTGATGCCACTCAATAGACAAAACACACATCAGAATTTCATAATAGAACACTTTATTTGATAGAAATTGTCTCGTCCTCAAATAATAGTACACATCGATTTTATGTGATAGAAAACAGTGTTTGTGTAACAAATGGTAACAAATCAAGATAATTCTTAATTATTGCCGAAACTATCAACTTTGAATAAGTTTGGAACACTGATATTCATTATATAGTTTCTTGATTTTTTGAAGGTTTTTCAAACATAAATTACCTATTTTTTTCAGTTATACCTTCACATTATTCAAAAAAGGCAGAAAGAAAGATCTGGATGACGATGACGTATACGGGATCGTCCCCAAACTATCGTCAGAGAAATTGGGAAATAAATTGGAAAACCAATGGAGGAGATTGAAGAAAGAAAAAAAAGATCCTTCCCTACTGCGAGCACTTTTCACGTGCTTTGGAAAAAATTATATAATCCTGGGAATGATTCAACTATGTTTCAAAACGGCTGTATTGTAAGTACCTTCTCCCATACTCAATATTTTGAAGACTTGCTATAAATCAAACCATCTGAAAAAACAATTTATTCAGGCCAGTCTGGCCAGCCGCAACTCCCTACACTGTAGGCTAATGGACTGTCACCTATCACAAAACAACAACTCCCCTGGCTAATGCCACAAAGGGCGTTGGATTATATTCGATAGGTGTCAGTGCAGGATTCTTCACTGAAGTTATTCCTGCATAATGCTGTTGGCGATACAACTGCCCCAATAGATTTTCAATTATTGGAACACACTTGCAACCGGTTTCGGGATGTTTGGCAGCGCAAGGTAGTGTCTATTACCAATATAAAGTCGATGATTTACGATAATTGGAAATCGAATTCCTTCAGAGTATTATTCCTCAAACTAGGTTGAAGCCAGCAACAAACAACAGATTTGTCATCGCCCCATCTGCCTGTGAACGAGGTAACCAACTGCCCAGTTCCTTGTATAAGGAAAGAAAACTTTTCACATATAGTCAGTGGTTATACTTGGAGACATTCTATAAATCAAATCAAGGGAGCCAGAGGAGTAGTTGTGTTCTGATAGGTGTCAGTCCATCAACCTACAGTGTAGGGTGTTGAGACTGGCCTGTAAGAATTGTTCATTTAGATGATTCGGTCTTCAAATTTTATTTTCTGTTAGTCATTTCGAAATTGATTGAAGAAGAAACAATGCTCGGTTTCGAAACTTTTCAGTAGATACTTACATGTATTTTTCAAACAGTTCAGAAAAATCTCCAAACGATTCAACTACCACTGCGGCAGTCATCTTCACTGGCGTGGACGAAGTACTTTTTTTCTACCAATGCGTGAATGCTTCAGAATGTTGATATTGAATGAAAATTCTTCATTAAAATTTTGTATATTTTCCAGATTGTAGAAGGAACATTAATAGAATTCTCATTTCTAGACTCCTCTTTTCGTCTATAAATGATTTATCAACAAATGACATAAGAAAATGTGCTTCAGTTGTTAGTTGCGAAAACGGTTATATTATTATATTTCTGAGATCATCATTTTTTGCTACTCAAATAATTCTCAACTTCAAAAAAGTATATCAGTCAAAATATAAAAAAAAGTTTCAAGAAGTTTTATGTCCCCATTTGTAAAAATGGAGGTCAGAAAAAATTGTTAGTTAACAATTGTATAACTGTTCGGAAAATCTGAATAAAATTTTTCTTCAACATTACTCCATCATTTGATTTTCTGTAAGTCACTCAAACTCCCAAATTGCTATTCAATACTATCAAACATATTCCATGTGGAATTTTGTCCCCAGAGATATTACGCCCTCAGCTAATGAGCGTAAGGAGGCCCTATTTGAAATGAAAATTATAAATAAGGGAGTTTCGAAAGTTGAGAGATATTTTCATAGTCATTTTCTCCCCTCTCAGAGCCAACTAATATATCAATTGAATTTTTTAAGGTTGCTGAAACAAAACTGAATGCGTTCTTTCCTTATCTCAATTTGTAATTTTTTCTGTGCCGTAAAATCATCACTATCGGTTTTTCTTCACGTCATTCTGAATCAAATAAGTTATCGCTTATATTTTACAAGTTTTATGAAAATTTAGTTCAATAATTCGACTGACATGAATTAAAAAAGAAATGATTATTATCACAACTGAAATAATGAAAAATTCAATTTGTTTTCTCGTTTCGTCATTTTGTGGAACTCCGTATATACTTTGAAGTGAAGCTAACCATATAATCTGAAGTAACCACTAAATACTATGACTTTTTCAAAAATTTAGAGAAAAACATTACTTTTATGAGTGAAAAACAGATCCTCCGATGACTCGTGTCACTTTACGAATTTTAATATTTATCCAAAAAGATACAATAACAGAATTGTCAATTTTCAGCGGAGGATGTAACTTCCCTTTAATAATACCGTTTTTCTTATTCATCAAATTCTGGCCTTGGCATCTAAATTTTGGAAGTCTGTTGAAACGTGATTTATTATTTACCTGTATTTCGATTAGTTGGGAAATTATTCAATAATTTTATTTTCGTAACTACTAGTGCAGACCTTGAGATCAATTTGCCACAAAAGGAATATGTCAGGAAGGACCTATTACGGCAGCTTCCTTGAATATCCCGATCGTGAGTGTATTGGGATGGAAGTTTTCCTTCTTTATGGGTGTGTCCTTTTATTAAAATTGGCAAATGCATCAGACATTGTCATTTATAAAAGGCTAATTGACGTACAAGAGAGTACGAACTGAATTCAGAATTCGAGCAGGAGTGGCGTCATATCCTCATTTGCAGACAATACTCAAGAATGTCCTGGGAAGAAGTAATTTAATCTACAGAGTAGGACTCAGCTTAACCGTATCGACGACTGCATGAATGTGATTGACGATATTTCTTGGAGAATGTTACTAGTTTGGACTTCCATTGTTCCGAACGAGTCGACGGATTCGAAATTTATGAGAAAAAAGAGAATTGAAAACAAAATGATATTATGAGAATGACATAATAATAATAATGAATATGCTTTATTGTCCTTATTGTCTCTTATTGATGAAGCTTTGATGAACATTGCTTTTTTGAGAAAAAAAACATTAGTTAGGTACAGAAAATCAGAGTATAAGCTAGTAGATTAATAAAAATATCTAGAGTTCTATTATGAAAAAAAAATATTGAATGTCACATTTCTGAAAACATTTGTAATATAGAATATAAACAAAGTAACATACCTATACGAATATATAAATACATATATACATATATACATACACACATATACAAATACAAACACATAAATAATTTTCAAAATGCCTGAATAATGTATGAAAACACAATCATATGTATTTGTGATGCCGTATTTGGAACCTTTGGTGTAGTAATGAGTATAAGTGGAGTTCAAGATTAAGAAGATTAAGTTTATTCTTCCTCTTGGAATCTTGGTGATCGAAACACGTGTCGAAGTATTTAAATAACGGTTTGGTGTTGGGAGAAAAATCTTCAGTATTATTCACGAATAAATGTATAAAATATGATTAAAAGTTATCGTTATAATATTCTTGCAAACTATAATAGGGCCTCTCGATAAGAAATTCCTTAGTTGATTATCGAAAGTCAGTACAGTTTACTACGCATTTCAGGTAGCTAGGTAGCTAATGTAAGTGAAATATAGCATATAGTGGTGAAAATTTGTTTGCTACAAAAGAAGGCCTACAAGAATCTCGCCGCCTGGCTCTACAGAGAAATCTTAATGACATTTTCTACAGTTGAAAACCAATTTCCAAGTAGAAATTACACTTCCCAGCTCCTTGTAGTTGCTAAATTTTATCTGTCGGCAAAAAAATTTTCGTTGTTGGGGATACGTGTTCGATCCCTGCTCTGGAAATCGATGGATGTCTTGTACAGTACTCTTTATGGCTTAGCGTGTTCACTGCATCATCGCCACCAAAGTTTCTGATTAATACAATTTATTTTAGAAATCAATTCGTCTGCGAAATAAAGAATGAAGCAGACAGTCGACCAGACAGCATATTAGAGATCATTTTGTTTGTGTTAAGCAAATAAACAAATGAAACGAAGTAATCTATAAAAAGATATTTAGCTCTGGCTGAAAGTGATGCACATGAGCGTTGGTGTTACTTCATCATGCATCATAGATAACAGATGTTTACAATATTAACAACGTAGAATCTTCACCTTCACTAACAGATGTGTCCTTATCAGGAAAAATATTTCCGGGTGTATTTTATCTGTTCACACAAACATAGATTTCCCAGAAGAGAGAAAATAACACCTATTTTTCGGTATCTTGGGAAAAACGATAGTGCTAAGTGGTGTTACTACTAACTGACTATCGATTCAAAAAGAATAGTTCGAAAGATAGAATTAGAAATGCGTTTCTCTCAAACTTTTCAACCTTTTCGATATTACTTTCTTTCAACAGGACTATTCTCGTTTGAACAGTTCAGTTTGCAGTAATACTAGCACATTTCCAGTTATCCCGTTATCAATACAATATATAGATCACACTGTATACTTCTTCAACTCAGGACTTTCAACAGGGAGAGTCTCCAGAGCTTTCGACTGCAAAGTAAAATATTTCATTGTGGTCTTTTCCAAAAGACCTTTGATTTGATAACATACATCCCTGCTACTGTGGCACAATTTACATTGGAACTACCAAACGTAGCATAACTACTAGAGTGAAAGAACACAAGGGTAGCGGTCACCATATGCAACCGAAAAAATCCGAAAGAGAAAACATGTCCTAGCATGAACAGACCTCATAATCAAATATGAGCTTGAACTTGTATCCTGTCTATGTCAATCGTTGCTGAGACTGCGAGATATAACCTTCGTCCTCGCAGTCAACGCACATACCACTGATGATGTCTGCTGCAGTAGTAGAAGAAACGTTTGGTTTTTCAGGTTACATTCGCCACTGCCTACCATAGTCCGGTCAATTCAGACATTGGAAGCTACCTAAATTCTCACCAAGCTGAAAATCAGTAAGATTGTTTGAAATATGATTTTAAAAAAATTTGAAAGTTCCCCATCTTTCCGCTGTATGAAAAATTTTTGATTCAAGGTCAAAGGTCAAAAAATGAGTTTTTCGCGATTTCCAGCAAAACGGTAAGTTTTATCATAAAAATACTTCAGACATAAATTGTAGACCATGAAATCATCTACAAAAAATGTTCCGAAACTTTTTTCCTATGAGCCACCGTTTTTGAGATATTACGATTCAAATAGTTGTAAAAGTTGTTCTTGTTCGTCTTGTTCTTCTTGTTCTTATTCTTCTTCATCAACATCCTGAGTACATGTAGACTATGTTGATAGCGATGTATCGCATGTCGCCTCGTTGGATTCAAACGGATCCTCCACTGTTGATGATTCAATATTATAGCACGACCGGTCTTGACAATGTGTGCCAGAGAACAAAAAGGAATGATGGGGAACTTTCAAATTTTATTTTTAATCATATTTCAAACAATCTCACTGATTTTCAGCTTGGTGAGAATTTAGGTAGGTAGTTACTCTTATTTTTTGGTCTAATTTGACCGGACTACCTGTCCGGATTATGTTCTCCAAAATAGTAAACACGATGTCTCAAATAGTTTTTCTCAGAAAAAATATATAAACTGAAATATGCCTATTAATAGTGCTATTAAAAAATATATCAAACATGGTTTCAAGGATATTGTATAGTTTCAAATTCGAAATATGTTGGAATTTTTGAAAACAACCCAACCAATTCATTCCAGTCATTATGTTCACATAGTAGAATGCCTAATATTGATTTTTGTAAAACTCCATACTGAAGATATTCCCAGATATATTTAACAAACACCATATTTTTTTCTCATATTAAACTGCCATTTTGTTTCAGATTCATCCAGCCTCGTGCGATAGAACATTTCGTCAACTTTTTCAGATCAGATAGAGATACCTCTGCCAGATCAGACCTCTATATCAACGGTGCCATCATTATCATCGTCAGCTTAGTCAGCACCATCTACAACCACAATTACCAACAGTTACTAACGGAAATCGGCATCAAAGTGAGAACAGCCATAGCTGCCCTTTTATACAGAAAGGCCCTCAGGTTAGGACCGAATTCCTTGTCCAGTTCAGCGATGGGGAGGATATTGACCCTCATAACCAAAGATGTGTTTGCCTTCGAGAAAGCTTTGACTTTTGTGAATGATATGTGGATCGGATTGATACATATTGGGATTGTTTCGTATCTCATTTATCGACGTATAGGAATTACTGTTGCGGCTGGTATCGGCTTTCTATTGATGATTATTCCATTACAGAGTGAGTAGTAGTAGCATCATAGTTTATAGTAGACCACAAATCGATTGATCATCCGTACTGATTGTTTTTGATATTGTCGGTTGGGAATTCTAAGATTTCAGTCACAATCTCAAGCAGAGACCGATACGTTTGGGAAAAATTGAATATCTGTCTGGCAATGGCGTCAGTCAACAACAAGCAGTTGAGTTAGTTCAGGAAGTGATTCAACTAGAAATAATTATTGAGAAGCATTTTTGTTGATATTCAACGATGGGTGGAACCTCTGTGACTGAATAGATTCAACAGAATTACCAAAACTGCAAAAACTTTATTTACAATACATGTTTTTCAGAGTTAAATTTTTACAGCAAACTTTTCTGTTCACTTTTTCCATCCAACAAAAGAAATTGACAACTCTAGATTTATCGATGGTCTTATGCTTGATGGTCAAACTAGTCAAATAATTTGATACAGGATTGCTTGAAAATAGAACTACCACGAAAACACAAAACTGCTATAAGAGAAGTGTACTTCATGAATCCTTTTGAGTCAACAAGAATTTAGATTCTCTCTGTATTGACCGTTACCTTGGTCTGAACGAGATGATCAGAATTTCATAACCGAGTTGGAACCCTTTCAAAATATCCACAGGAATCAATTCATTTCTAAGGATTAAGAGTTTAACTCAACTCAGGTTGAGTTGAATGGAATCGAAAAGAGGAGAATTCCTACAGGGTGATATTTTTAACACTTTGGTCTAGCATAGTCGCGTGAATAACAGAGATTCTTAACACTAGATAGAAGGCTTTTCACATGAACTTTGGAGTACTATATTACTATACCGGGTGTCCCACATTTTATGTGACAGGCAATATCTGGTTTGTTGAAGGAGGTACACAAAAATGTTTCATACAAAAGTTTTAGGAGTTCATGGGAGCTATATTTTGATATAATTTTTAAATATACAGGGTGTTTGGTGGAGGTGCTACAGACCAAAATTCCATTTTTTGAAATGGAACGCCCTGTATATCATTACATATTCAGATGCTACGTTAAATTCTGATATCATTTCATGTTTGGTTTTTGAAATT